GAGGAATGGATACAGAAATTGTGGTATATTTACAGAATGGAATACTACTCAACAATTAAAAACAAGAAAATCATGAAATTTGCAGGCAAATGTGGGAACTAGAAAAGATCATCCTGAGTGAGGTATACCAGAAGGAGAAAGACACACATGGTATACTCACTGGATGTACCATGGATATATCCATGGTATTAGATATTAGACATACAATAAAGGATAATCACACTAAAACCTGTACACTTGAAGAAGCTAATAAAGAAGGAAGACCCTGGGTAAGATGCTCAATCCTTATTCAGAAAAAGAAATGGGATAGACATTAGAAGAAGGCAAAAATAAGGAACAAGACAGAAGCCTACCACAGAGGGCCTCTTAAGGATTCTACCCTGCAGGGTATCAAAGCAGATGCTGAGTTTCATAGCCAAACTCTGGGCAGAGTGCAAGAAATCTTATGAAAGAATGGAGAGACAGAAAGACCTGGAGGAAGGGGAGGAGGTCCTTCCCTACTAGTGGACTTAGAGAGGGGTAGGGAGGAAATGAGGGACGGAGGGTGGGATTGGGAGGGAATGAGGGAGGGGGCTACAGCTGGGATATAAAGTAAATAAACTGTAGTTAATATAAAAAAAAAAATTTAATTTAAATAAAAAAGAAAGAAAGAACTGGAAGTTTGAGCAAATGTCCTTGTTGTATACTTGAACATCTTTTGGATATCTGCCTAGGAGTGGTATAGCTGGGTCTTGAGGTAGCACTATACCTAATTGTCTTAGAAAGGGTCAGATTGATTTCCAAAGTGGTTGTACAAGTTTACATTCCCACCAGCAATGGAGGAGGGTTCTCCTTTCTCCACATCCTCTCCAGCATGTTTGTCACTTGAGTTTTTGATCTTGCCCATTCTGATGGGTATAAGGTGAAATCTCAGGGTTGTTTTGATTTGTATTTCCCTGATGACTAAAGATGTTCAGCATTTCTTTAAGTGTTTCTCTGCCATTCGATATTCCTCTACTCAGAATTCTCTGTTTAGCTCTGTACCCATTTTTAAATTGGGTTACTTAATTTGTTGTTGTTTAACTTCTGAAAGACTCTACCCAGTAGGGTATCCTGAGATTCATAGTCAAACTTTGGGCAGAGTACAGGGAATCTAATGAAGGAAGGGGGAGATAGAAAGACTTGGAGGGAACAGGAGCTCCACAAGGAGAGCAACAGAATCAAAAAAATCTGGGCACAGGGGTCTGTTCTGAGACTGATGCTCCAAACAAGGACCATTCATGGATATAACCTAGAACCCCTGCATAGATGTAGCCCATGGGAGCCTCCAAATGCGCTCCCTGGTAAAGGGAACAGAGGTCTGTCTGTGGCATGAAGTCAATGGGTGGCTCTTTGATCTCCTCCCCCGGGGGGGGGGGGGCAGCCAGCTTTACCATGCCACAGAGGAAGACAATGCAGACTAGTCCTGATGAGACCTGATAGGCTAGGATCCGATAGAAGAGGAGGAGGACCTCCCCTATCAGTAGACTAGGGAAGGGGCATGGGAGGAGAAGAGGGAGGAAAGTCGGGATTGGGTAGGGACGAGGAGGGGGCTACAGCTGTGAGACAAAGTGAATAAATTGTAATAAAAATATTAAATATAATAAATTTAAACTGAAAAAAAAAACCATAAAACCCTAACATATCTGTAGGATAGACAACACTGTACAGGCCTGTTTCCTGAGCCCCCATTTCCTGAGTTTATCTGTGACAGCTTACAAAGGATCATCATAGCTGGACTTATTGACTGCTGGCAATCCATCAATGAAGTAGGCATGAGGAGAGTAACGAGATCCTCACCCAAGCATCTAACCCTGCTCCTTCCCAGCTAGTTCTATGTGTTCTGCCCTGATTGCAAATGGAGCTAGAATATACAGGCAGGCGAGGACTAGGGAGTGGTTCCACCTATGTGGCCATGGGAGAGTCATCATCCATATTGGTGCAGAACTTCGAGGGTGGCACTTTATTAAGACCACATATACCCCGTCCATAACCCTCACCCACTGCTCTGTAAGTTAACCTAATGAGCCCACTGGTTCCCCAGAGTAAACGTCAGAGGAATATTTCAGTTTATGATTAGGACTCTAGGAGGGGTTGGTACTGTTTCTCTCTCCAGCAGAAAAAAAATTTTAGAAAGATATAAATCTAAAATGAATCAACTCAAAATTTATTTTAATGGTTGACATTAATAATAGGATTGTTAGTAATGAATTTATAATAATTAACAGAAAATCCAATTGATTCTTTATAATTTTAGGAATGTTAATTCTTTATAATTTAGTAGTTTGAATAATACTCAAGCTCTACTTAAAAGAAAACATAATTATGATAACTATTTGGTAGAAGTAAATAATATTTAGAAAGAGCCATTACCTACTGCATAATCAAACCACAAAGGGGAAAGAGAACTTTTATCATTATATCACTGCTTTCTATTTAATAATTCCAATGTATGACTGTCAGCTTGTTTACAAGCATTGACCTTAGAAAGACATGTGGCATTCACGAAAGCATACCTAGCAAGTGAACAGTAACTATCATACTTAAAAAAAATTAACCATAATCACATCAACTTAATGTATGCCATATTAATTTAATCCCAGCAATCCAAACTATAACATACAACTTCTCTTTTAGCATCTAAACAATCTTCGCAACAATTATCTGCAAAATCAGATCTCAGTAGACAAGGGATAACTTGGTTGGATGCCTCCTTTTTAGCTAGTATTAAGTTCGCTTTTTCTGCCAACTAATAATGCTGCCATATTCTGTTGGTAAAATTGATATTTTTAAAGTTATAACTTTAAGAATAGATCTTAGAAAGATCTATCACATTTGAAAAATATTTTCAAGTAGAAGTTAAGACAACATATCTATATTACCATGACATACAAAATACTAAGGTATCATTGCTCTGCATCTTTGCTCAAGCAAAGAGGCTGAAAACATACCTGAAGGGTACAGTGTAAAGGGAGTGAAAGCATTTTACCTGCAACACCAGCACACCAAGTACTTTTTATACCTTATTTCATTCTCGTCACAGGAAATTTATGAAGCAAGCATTACTGGGATTCATATTTTACAGATAGGAAAAGAAGCAGAACTGTATGGAAAGTCAACTTATCTAAAACGACACAACTGGTAAGATTAGAAGCCAGTGCATTCACTTGTAGAAACTGTCCCGAAAAGAGTTAGCAGAGAGCAAGCTACTGACAACCTCAGAAAAGAACATTTACAAGTGATAAATGGCCCCACGTGATAACTTGCATTTTGGAAAGGTTTCTACTATTTTCTCATAAGAGTGACTGTCAAGATCATCCTGAGTGAGCTATCACAGAAGCAGAAAGATGCACACGGTATATACTCACTCATATAGACATATAATATAGGATAAACCTACTAAAATCTGTACACCTAAAGAAACTAATCAAGAGAGAGGACTCTTGCTAAAATGCTCAATCCCTATCCAGAAAGGCAAAGAGGATGGACATCAGAAGAAGGAGAAAAGAGGGAACAAGTCAGGAGCCTGCCACAGAGGACCTCTGAAAGGCTCTGCCCTGCAGACTATCAAAGCAGATGCTGAGACTATGGAAAACCTTCAGGCAGAGTGCAGGGAATCTTAGGAAAGAAATGGGAAACAGTAAGATCTGGAGATCTTACTGAACTCTACAAGGAGAGCAACAGAACCAAAAAATTTGAACACAGGGGTCTTTCCTGAGACTGATACTCCAACCAAGGACCATGCATGGAGATAACCTAAGACCCCTACACAGATGTAGCCCATGGCAGTTCAGTCTCCAAGTGGGTTCCATTGTAATAGGAACAGGGACTGTCTCTGACATGAACTGATTGGCCTGCTCTTTAATTACCTCCCCCTGAGGGGGAAGCAACTTTACCAGGCCACAGAAGAAGACAATGCAGCCACTCCTTATGAGATCTAATTGACTAGGATCAGAAGGAAGGAAAAGAAGACCTATCAGTGGACTTGGGGAGGGGCATGCATGCAGAGGGTGGAGGAAAGGAGGAATTGGGACTGGAGGGGGGAACCACAGGGGGGATACAAAGTGAATAAAGTGTAATTAATAAAAAATTAAAAAAAAAAAAAGAGTGACTTGCATGCCAAAAAATGATGTGGCTTAGACTACACCCACTTTTCTCTTGGGAGTCTGGAATTTGCGTATTCAGCAGAGGGTACTTACAGCGTTAAATTTTTTGAGGGAAAAATGCACTCTAATGAACTACCTTGGCATCCAGCATCATACATGTGCCACTCTGAGAAGCTAGCATCCATTTCCTACCCACCACCAGGTACCTCTCTTCTCAATCATTCTTTGTTTCTTTCTGCTACAATGAATCACAGGCTATGACCTCTTGAGTCCTGTGAGAATCATTACACTTGATGTCATCTTATGACATCTTATATAACACACTAAAGCTCATATGTGAACATTGTGTAAGGAGTTAGGGACCCAAAACAGTAGGGAAGTAAAAGGGAACAGTGTGTTATGTCTAGAACTTTACAGTTTAGACAAACCATGCTATGTGTATTGTTTCTTTCATTTCCATATAACATTATAAAAGTCTGTTTTCTAATGTTGTAATTCCTAGCCTCCTTGCATTCCAGATCAGTTCACACATCCAAAACTGACGTTGACAAGGATATTCTTTAAATAATTAGTAGCTTAGAACTATGGATATTTGCTACCTTCCCCAAAATCTGCATCTTTATCAAAGAAACAACAAATTGAGAACAGAAATTCAAGTCTAAACAACAATTTCCAATCATCTCTCACTGAAGGTGTTAGGTCAGTTTCAGGATTACAAAGGCTTGGGCTAGCAAGGATGAGGCTGATTTAAATGACAGGGACTGTCCTGGAATGTGGCTTTATCTTTTCCAAGTACATTCTTCAGAAGATGCTGTTGCAGTACTGGTTAAATTAATCCTTTAGAACGATATGAGAATTTCAGTCCACATGCTTTACCTTATCAGCCTGACGCATATAGCAGTAGAGAATTCCTCTCATACATTTTATGGCAGAGTGCTCCAGCTCATGGGTCCTTCCCTTGTCATCATCAATGCGCCTGGGTGAAAGAGATAACTCAGGAAACAAATTGGAATTGCATTTGAAAGGAGAGTAGAGCTTTTGATAATTAAGTATTTAACTAACTGGCTAATCCTGTGTTCTGGTGACATCTACTAATTCTGTCAGTAAAATTTCATCTTCCCAGCAGATGTAGAAATGCTGCAATTAAAAAAAAAAAAATCATGGTAAAACTTGTGCAGCTTTTTTCTTGCTTTATGGGAGTGAGTAAATTTTTTAAGTGGGAATTTTTCTACAATGATCTAGCTAAAATTTAAAGCTTATTTCTATATTAGAAAAACATCACCCACAATTATTTTAAATTCACTGTTACAAAATGGAGACAACCTATCTCTTATACTCTGTAATTCCCAGTCCGATTCAAAGAAGCAGAAATTAAGGTAGGCACATACTTTTACTGCTGTGCCCCAGGGGGTACGCTAGTCCTAAAAGATGCCCTCAACTAAACACACATCTAATGATACATATGGCATATTCTGGTATGAAGTTTCATATTCTCAGGTTTAGTTTAAAAATCAGTTGGTCATATTTTAATTATCTTGCTTTAAAAATTAAAAGCAAAATCTAACCATTAAGAAGGTTACATTAAGATGTTCTTTCAAGACAAAACAAAAACAAACAAACAAATAAAAAACCAAGCCTTTTAACTAGGAATGACTTTTAAAGGTAGATAAAATATCCACTGCTAAAAAACAAGAATGACATGTTGATTGTTTCAGTTTACTAAATATCTGTGGATCACCACCACTTGATAAAACCAATCCCATGCCTCCTTAAATAAAAGATACTAATTTTTTATTTCTGTAGCTCCCGTACACATGCTGAATGTCAGAAAAAACAGATTATATATGATTGTCACATCACTGAGCCTATTTAATGCAGGCACGAAAGTAAATATATCACACATTTGTCCTGTATTGTATTATATTCATTTTTCTGATATCTGCACGGCTAATGTGCCCAGCTACATACAACTCAATTCTCTTCTGAGGTCTTTAGGGAAGATTAGTGTCTGACTTTAATCCCTCTGTGGCATATACTTTTTAAAGCAATTTTCTACCCCTCTGTTATTTCAAATTTTTCAAATGTGCAAAAAAGTTAAAATAATATTGCTATAAACAAGCCATTTTATTCTTTATCTAGATTCACCACTTACTAGCATTATCTTGTTTTATATTCCACAGCTTAGTATAATTTTATTCATTAATTGAAAGCTACAAACATGAATTTTTACCTACACCCAGTAAAAGTATCTCTGGAGAAAAAAAAAAAAGAGGCCTTTCTCTTATATAACCATAAACACGATTGATTATATTCAAGACACTTAAGAGTTGATGTTATATAACATACAGTCTATACTCAACTTTATCAAATGATCTCCAAAATAGACTTCATAGTGTTCTCGTAATGCACTGATTCTGTAAAACTAGTCCACTTGAAGCTACTACAAGGGTGAACACCAGCTCACCTGTATGCCAGAGCCAACGCCCAGGCACCCGCAGCACAGTACAGACTGTCGTGGACCTTGGACTTCTGATCTCCACCACATGTTTTAGTGGGAAACAGACCTGTTGTTGGACTTTGATATATCAGCACTGTTGACTTGACTACCAAAAAAGAAAAAGAAAAAAGACAAAGACAATGAATGCACAATCAGAACTTTCTCTTGGTTTCTTCAAACTATTTTTGATAGTTTTATTGTTTTTAAAATTAGCTTTAGCATAAAACTTTTGAAGATGTTAAACCACTTCATGTCGCTGTAGCCAAAATGTCTTTATAGTTGTGAAGAAAGCATTCAACTGGTTAGAGAATTAAAGGTTTGGAATTATGCTGGTTAATGTTAATCTATGATACAAATCTTATTGAAATAACATCAGATACATGGTAGAGAAAAAGCTTAACAAAAAAATATAACTACACTATTTTTTGTTAAACTCAATTAAGAAAGAAAACTTAAGGCAAATGTACAACACATGAGTTTCTCAGTCATGAGGCCACTACTACTAGATTATGAAAACTAAATGATCCACAAGTTAGGGAGGATGAAGAAAGACCACAAACAGCCCAGACACCTGTATTTCACTGCTAACTGGTATTTACCAAAGGATAGTCACTTACTTACTGACCTGTACAAGTTAGGAATATGTTTAAATTTCAAAAGTATAATCCCATTTTTATATGGCAAGGTCAAAAACAGAAAAATAAGTGTGGACAAAGTCTGAAATCGGTGCTTTCCTCTCTTTGAAGGCGTTCCAAACTGGGAAAACAGACTTACTACACTACATTTTTAAATTTCCTAAAGTAAACTTTATTCTAAGTATAAACAATCACTGTTTCCCAGAATACATTATATCAATGTAATAAAGATTAAGATATAACATTTTTCTTTTACTATCTTTTTTCATTTAAACAATGTAGTATCATATATTAGTTATATATAATGGGTTTTTCATGATGTTTTGATTAATCTACACACTGTATTTTGATTACACTCAATATTACCTTTTTCCAACTTTCCCCCGTCTACTTCCTGTTTCCCTTTCTCCTTTGGTGGTCCACTGAGTTTCATGAAAATAAAGGTGAAGTCTTGCTTATAGGAGCCTTGGCAACTTAACAGTGGATATATGATTGAAGAAAATGTCTCTCCCTCCCCTATCAGCCAAGCATAAACCCAAGTGCAGGGGTGGGGTCCCATTAGGCCTGTTCCATTCCATAACAGGGCATTAATAGGTCCAACCTTATACAGACCTTTTAAGTTCAAGAGTGCAACATCCATTTATCAGTGGAACGTTTTCTATTTCCCTTCAACTCCCTTTTTACAGCTCTGAAATTCTTAACACTTTGTTGTTTGTTTGTTTCTTAAGACAATGTCTTACTTGGTTTGGAATTCAATCTTCCTCTATCTGTCTCCTGGATGCTGAGTTCAGGCATGGGACACTACACTCAGTATTCTCAGACTAAACAAACCTTTTTCAGAACATTATCTTAACTGCTCTAAAGAATTGGTCCCCACAGTGCAAAGTAAATACAGGCTACTTCTTTTAAAACTATAATTACTCTTTTGTTTTTTTAGACTGTTTTTGCTATAAGGATAACAGAAAGGACAATCGAAGAATGTAGGAGAGAATCCTGATGAAAAACAGGCAAAAATAAAGCTTACATGAGGTTGGAACAGACAAAAAAAAAGAAACCCATGCTTTGAGAGATGAATAGAATTTTATATTCCTTATCATAATAGAAGAACAAATAGCACAAAAAGCAAGGTTGCAAAATATCAATAGACATTCCAATTTATGGTTTGATAAAGGACTATAATCATATATATCTCAAAGTTGCTTACTGACATTGAAAAACAAATTTGCCACATTGATCTTGAACAAACAAAATTTGAAATCAAACAAATCAACAACAAACAAGCCCCCCGGAGACCTAATTCTGTTAATGGTAATGATAACCTGAGATTGCTTCTTTTATTCCAGTGAGTTAGAATCTACATATACACAAATGATCGAGCTAAATACTCATATGAAACAGTTGTTTATTAACCAAAACAAAAACATACTCAAGCTATAAAACCTATTAGATTGGTGTGGTGCTACACACCTTTAATACTAGGACTCAGGAGGTGGAGGCAGGCAGATTTCTCTCAGTTTGAGGCCTGTCTGTTCTAAAAAGAGAATTCTAAGACAGACAGGTCTATACAGAGTAATGC